TTTGACAGGTACAAGAATGGGAATGAACTATTAAGGGACATTATATTATATCTTTCATCAGGCATTCCATGAAAGCTCCATAAAGGATTTTCTCAAGTGGTATCACTGAGAGTTGGCATCGATTGCATAGTGATGCTTAAGATGCTCATTCAAGGTCCTTTCTCCAGCCTGTGTTTGGTCCTGTTTAATGCTCTAGTTAAAACAAACAGCCTTCCTAATCCAAGTCACTACTGCAGGTTGAAAGTCACAGTTCCATTGAAGTCCAGGCCAGCATTGTCCCAGATGGGAATGAAACCGGGCATTTGCAATTTGCTGAAATTCTGAGGTTTTGCTGCTTAAAATAATTTTCCTGTTTTTATGTGATATGAAACACTCCTAACATTCAAATGAGGAAAAAAAATATTTTTCAGCATCAAAACCCAGAAGCATTTAAGTGTTGTGTTCTTCTCTTCTTGGGTCTAGCCATTGGCATGGTAAGATCAAAATGAACAGAGTGTTCCCAGGGCTCTCTGAATGCTGATGTTCTGATTTCATGCATCTTCTCTGACCAAAATACACAGGGTTTGGTACAAAGCTGCAGCGATAGTCCAGCAATCTCATTCCAGTAGCATGAACAAGCAGACCTTAAAGCACATATTCAGGTTGTGATTCTACAGTTGTCATTTTTTCCTTGCTGATTTTCATTCAGTGATGGTTGTAGAAAAATCAAAACCCCCTTGTGTTACATTCTTGCAAGTGCTTATGGTCCCTGAGTTGCTTGCCGTCTAAATAAACAAAATGATTACCCTGTAGGAGAAATGCTATTATTTTTATTGTTATTCATTTAAAACAATGGAAAATCAGGCATAAAGAAAACAAAATGTATTTTCCAATGGCTGCACACTGAGATTGCGACAGGGCCAGGAACTGAATCCAGGTGTCCTGAGTCCCAGCCCAGACCTTTAAACACCAAAATATCCTGCTACTTTTGAATTTGGAGTGTTTTGGCAAAAGTTTCCCCAGAGTGTTTCATAATTAATGTCAGTGCTAGTCTCTGAACGTGTCTTACCAGTTAGGAATTTGCTTTTATATACACGCATCCTCTTAAAAACTCCCCAAAATTTAGCAGCTGTTGGCTTCTTTGTGTTACTTGAATGTTTCTAATGCAAATATGGGACATGATAAATTGAAAAGTGTTGAGTTGACATGTTCTACTTTGAGTCCACTTAGCAAAATCCAAAGGTCATCTCTGCTGTGAAGAGCCAGCAGGACCAGACACATTATGAGCCTTGTTTCAAGGGTGGGAAAGGGATTTTCTGTTGTGTCTAGAAATCAGACTCTTTCTATTTCGCAGGGGTGAATTTAATCCAATAAGAGCTAAGCTCATCCTAGGATTTGTGACAGTTTTTGACAGATTTCTGAAAAGGAGCTAGAACCAAGGTAAAAAATAACATCCCACAACAGATTATTGCAGCCTGAGTCTCAAGGGACCCGTTCCCTGGCTGAGATGCATTTGGTCCCTTTTAAGTCTGCAGAAGCAGGATGCTGTCTGTGAATAGAAATCCGTGGTGTAGTGTGGAAGAATGCAATTCTCCTGAGTAGCTCAAATAGCGGCTTAATAGCAGTCCTCCGGATCAGGTCAGCAGCTCATGTGTCTCCAACAAACCTCTTGCCCCATCTCGACCTCTCTAATTACCAGCTGCAGTGGTAGTCCCACCTATGCTCATCCCATCATGAGATGCTCTAGTAGGTCCTTTATCCTGTATCAGATGTTGCCCAGCTGCGATGAGCTTTTTCAGGCTGGGATTATGTTGAGATGAGCTTTTTCAGAATGGGATATATGTTGATGAATAGGAATGTCTCTCTTTTTAAAAAATTGATATTTGTACACTGAAGGGATTTGGGGTTTTTTTGTGCTGTCCTGGATAAAAAGTTCTTACAATCATTTTACTCGGCTGCTGGGAAGCCAGGGTGTTATGCTGGAGAGTGGTGTCCTTAGGAAAACTCCAAGCAAAGGACTGGAATAGATCCTGTTTTTACAGTAAAAGTTGGCTTCCCTACGTACGTTGTCAGCACAGAGCTAATTTGAAAAACTTCTGAAGTTTACACAAGGCAAATTTTTTGCGTTTCTGTGGGCACTGCAGGACAGCGGTGCTTTGGTGTTCAAAGGGCAGCTCTGGGGAGAGGGCTGAGATGCTGTCTGACCAGAGCTTTCATCTTCCTTTCAGAGGTATTCACGCGTGCTTCTTCAGCCAGCTCTGTCCTGCCTTTCTGGGAACTGGACAAGCAATTTCAGCTGTGCTGGAGCAGCAGAGGGGGTTTAGGAGAGCGCCTGCCTGGCGTTGGTCTTACCCGCCGTGACAGCTGGGCTTTTCTTCCAAAAGGTCTTAATGTATCTGGGCACCTGCTTTCAAAACATCTCCATGCCCCAGCAAGCAACTTGAGAGTGTATCCAGAATGGCTTGTTTGATATGAAAGTGCCAATTTGACAAATCCCTGGGTAGATTTGAGTGTCTGCTCCCATTCAGTGTCTCCCTGTCAGAATCACCCAGGCATCCCTGACAAGCTCAGCTAGTGACTTCCCACAGCCATGATGTCTCCAGTTGCCACCAGTTTGACTCATGGTAGCCCCCTTGTTTGCTGTGCAGACTGTGTTTGCGCTCGTCCTAGTCCAAACAGCCCAGATGAAAGCGCTGGGCACTTCTTTGGGAGATTTACTGCATGCCAGGAGGCTCAGGGTGTGTCCTGCTGTTCTCCACGTCTTCTTCTCTTCCCTTGCCTTTAAACCAGGCTCCCAATCACCGTCATCTATCTATCTATCTATCTATCTATCTATCTATCTATCTATCTAATTTTTCTTAATGCAAAAATTGTTTTCAGCAGCTTGCTGCACTTTCTAATTCCTCCTTGTCTGGAGAAAAAGCCAAATGAGACCTGGTACAGTAAGTTTTTACTATTTGCCACTTGGAAATGGTATTTGAGAATGGAGATTCAAAGGGCATCGTCTGCTTTCTTAGGAGCCAAAACTCACTCCCTCCACACTGCCCTTAAAGAAGGTTACCTCACAAAAATAATGCACATCTTCGCCCTGTATTTTCCCAAGTCTTGCCAAGCTTTATGTGCAGTAGGAAAGGAGGCATCATTCTGCCAGTTAAAGAGCTGAGGTATTTTCTTTAATTCTGGCAGACAGCTCCCCTTTCCAAATAGGAGCAGATTTGCCAAGTCTTGGCTCAGTGCTTCCAGGTAAACTCCTCTTGTCCAGCCAAATCAAACGTGTCACTCTTGTCCCACTCCAACTATTCCTGCTCAGAGCAGCGTTCAGCATAAAAAAGGACTTTATGCCATGCTGTTGTTGCAGCCAAGTGCCTTGAGGAAATCCTTTGCATTTTTTCACCACAAAGCTTTCAGAAGATGCATATGCAAAATTGCCATAGGATACGCATATGCAGGGGCATCCCTCAAGGAGAAGACCCCATGATTCCACCCAGGTGTCAATCCCACTTGGTTCAGCAGGAGTTCGTATGTTATTGGGGAGGTATTTTAATTTTGAAGATGGTTTCAAACACTTTGGTGGAGGTAAACAAGCAACCTGCTGATGAGGTGGCTGCTCAGACAATTGACAGTTGAGCCACATCTCTGAAAATTATCATATGTCAGAGATGAAACTAGTTATTATATGCCTGGCTGGAGATGAGTGTTTGCATGCCCTGTCTGAGCTCCCAAGAAATGCAGCTACTAGGTAGTTCCTGGGAGCTCACTGAAAGAGGCTTTGGGTGTTTCTCAAGGCTTGGCTGAAAGGCAAACTATATTTGATGCTCATTTAAGTATATGCAAGTATTAATTCAATGTTAAGGTGCCCCAAGGAAGCCACCGTTGTCTCCCGGGGATGAGAAGGGGCTTTAGGGCAGCCATGGCCTCACCTCACCTCACATGAGCTCTTTGCCATGCTCCAGGCATAGGATGACAGGGTGTGCAGCTTCGGCTTCTCTGCAGGTCTCTCTTTCAGTTCTTGTCGTTTTGCTGGTTGGGTTATCTGGTGGGTACGTGTGCAGGTTTCTGCAGGTGAGCTGCTGTTCCATGATGGCAGCATAACGTAGACGTGCCTGAGCTCACTGGTGCTGGTGCCTCAGGAGGAACCTAGCAGCAGTGGCACAGGGTTCAGTGTAGGCTTTGCTATCAAGGAGAACACTTGGTTACAGCATCACCAGGACTAGCATTAGACTGGTCCTGGCTAACAAGCTTGGGTGAGCCTGGTCAGAATGCAGACGTCTTCCAGGGGCCTGACTCTGCACCTTGCTGGCACTCAGTGGTGTTGGCTTTCTTTGAGGAGCAAGTGCATTAGCCATGGAAGTGGTCTCTCTCCTGCTAGACCACACAGCTGTTTTACCTGAACATCTGTGTTAATTTACAAGGCTTTCTCCAGGGTGAAACTAATGTCTGGTCTTGTTTCTGAATCTCTAAATCCAAAGTAACTCAATATACCAAGATAAAATCCTCTTTAGACCTCTGTCACTACCAGCAGAGTCTGGCTTTTTGCACGTATACACAGCTAAGCTCAAAAAATGGTCCCAAGTCCCCACTTACAAGCAGAAGCCCTCAGCCTGGGTGTAGCTCAGCCTCTAAGGCGCATAAAGAGAGCAGTCTTAGCAGCTGCTTTCCCCTCATCTCTTCATCTCGTATCTCACGAGAATATCTCTCCACCTGGGACTGTGCAGGGAGTTGGAGTAGCCAAGTTCAGAGGATGAGCAGCTGGAAAACAGGCTGTACCCCATCATTGATAGACCAATTGCAGACAGATAAGTGGTCTGTCTGGCTGTCAGGAACTCCAGCTTTTCCAATTTCCATTGCAATGGGTTTTCCTCTCATTTCAGCCTCTGCATTCAGGTTTTCCTTGGTTATCCCATCATTGCCCAGTCCAGTGGTGTCAAAGGGTTGTCAGAGGCATGTGAGAGTGCAGCATAAACTGCTGTGTTGGCTGTCCTACGTCACCAATTCAGTCAGTCTTTCTTATCTTGTTACAGCTCAACAGACTGGAAGACGCAGCAAATGCAGCTCACACCTTCTTCATGGCCAACCCTGAGCACATGGAGATACAGCAGGACATTGAGAACTACAAGACCACGGCAGGGAAGGTTGACTTGATTGACCGGGAGGCCAAGCAGCACATGGTGAGTCTGAGCTAAAGAGGTTCCCGGGTTAAGCGTCAGGCAGTCCTGGGGAAGAAGAGATTTAGGAGGCCAGGAGAGCTTCATCTATGAATGGGGAGATTCTTGCCAAGGTCTGTATTACAATACAGCAAAAACCCCTCTCCCTTTCAGGGCTTTCCTTCAAGGCAACCTAGCTCCTGCTTTTTCAAGGCACTCTCTGCTCTCTGATGGCTATGCTCTCAACCTGGTCCCTCTCTTCAGGGAACTCTGGGGTCATCCATGGCTGTGAACAGACATCAGCAAGCAGCTTTGATGAATGCCTTCATGGGCACTGATGGACAGATCTTGGCTTATGTGTGTTTCTTTTGAGCTGGGTTCTTCCACCAGGGTACATGCACACAAGTGGCTGTGCTGGTGAGGGTGCAGGTTGGCAGGCAAGAGAGTGACACCTTTTTCCACCTTCCCAAAGCAAAAGACCAACACAAATGCCAGGGCCAACCCCAACTTTCTGATTTCACAAGACACAAGGAAGCAGGAGTGGTCGCTTGGTGTAGTTAATGGAGTTGCTCATTAGGGGCCATAAGGCAGATATTCCTGGGTCAAGGGCAGCCTTTTCCCTTGGCATTCAGCGTAGTTGTTGGGTAGGAGGGTAAAAACAAAGAAAATGAATGTTTTTTCATAATAATGCTTAATCCAGCAGTGGCACTGAGGATTTCCTAAGTATGGAGGAGTTCAGCAGAGCATTTAGGCAGGTTTACAAGGTTCCACTGATCCAAAAGTCCATTGGTGGCTTAAACATGGTTTGGTACAACCGCTTACATCTGGCAGGTACCCAGGGAGATCATTCTGTCCCTGCCCCCTTGTTTGTTCTTATGAGAAGCACCCGCAGTTGGCAAGGGCAGGATGCTGTGGTCCAAGTAGCGTGGCCCACTCATGGTCTTGTTTTCTGTCTACCTATTTTTCAGGAGGACTACAGTGCCGGAGTAAGGCACTATGACAAGGAGGAGTACGAGCTGGCCATTGACTTCTTGGAACGTGCATTGAAAGGTTACTACTCTGAGGATGAAGATTGCCAGCTTATGTGCGAGGGACCGCAGAGATTTGAGGAGCATGAGTACCTGGAAAATAAGGCTGGCCTCTATGAAGCTATTGCAGGTGAGATCTTTTTGCATCTTCAGGGTTCTCACCCTTTGCCCTGCAATGTTTTTATTTATTGAGTTTGGGCCTTGGGCTGAATTTGGTGAGGTGTCTTCCCTTCTGTCACTGCTGCTGGTGAGGCAGTTGGAAGGCCAGAAAATGCGAATTGAGAGGACAGGGAACTAGAACGTCTCGTTTTGGTCCTGAATAGAAGCTGGGCTAAAAGAATTGCATTTCCAGATTGGAGGAGCATTTGCAGCCTTCTGTCAGAGCTGGAAGTATAGGTGCTTTAACATAAACCACCTCGGTTTCCCCCTGTACACAGTCTGACATACCTCCCTGGAATCTAGACATTGCTGGCCTCTGTTTATAGTTTCTGTCTTTCAGTGCATATAAGAGAGCAGCAAAGTCCTCTTGGCCATGCTCCAGATAGCCAGGAAAGTTGCCAAAAAGGCTCAGAACATAGATTTCTTCCCCATCCAAAAAGGATGGATTTGTCATTAGCAGAGGCCCACCTAATTATGATCTTGACTGGAATCTCTGGAGAGAATCAAACGTTGCTATGTAATCTTCAGATTTGCATGTGTGGCTCTGAGCCAGAGGGGATTAAAATGGCTCATTCTCGGTAGAAATGAGATTACATTTAATTAGTCGTAAGGGAAAGAAGAACAATAAATTAAGGTTTGTTTGGTGACAGAAATCGTATTTATCTGCTCATGGTCTTGGAGTTGCATCAAGCTCTGGAGTTTTGCTTCTTGTGTGGAAAATACTTCACTCAGATAGAGACTGTGTTTTGGTTTTGCATAATTTTGTTTGTGTCGAGACAGGAAATCTAATTGAAATGACCAAGACAAGAAACCACCATCATACCGGATGGGAAGCTGCCTTTGTTGGATTTATTTACCCGTGGAAAAAATACGAAAAGTGTTGTAAGGGTTGACTTGGTACCAAATCATGCCTGCTTTTAAAGCCATGACCAGGACACCAAGGACAGTATCAAGCCCTTTAAGAAATTTGCATTCAGTGGCAAAGAGAACCCACCTTCCTTCTCAGTGAAAGGTGCTGCTCGTCAAAGAGATTTGGGTCTCTGTTAAATTGTTTGTGCTGTGCAAGTCGAGTGCAGCCTTAATGAGCAGAGAAGTTTCTGTGCTGGACTTTGCAGAGGGTGGTCATGGTGTGGTGGTCCTCAACCCAGCACATCAGCTGGGAGTGAGAACAAACCAGATGGTCTCTGCAAGTGCAAGTGCTGTGGCTTGGGTTGACCAGATATGCCTGGAAACAGCAAGTCCAAACCCTGGTGCCATTCAGGCACCTAAAGAAACAGGGAAGTGAGGGTACACAGATACAAAATGCAACTGCTTTGCTATAGGGAGCTAAATGGTTCCTTATGGGACAGCATAATCCAGATTTCACCCCTGGGTCCAGGGCACTCAGCCTCAGATGTTTCACCAGGGAGTGGGAATACTAGTACGCCAAGAAAAGAGGGTTTAAATTTCTTCAAAACTTGTTTCTCTTTTCAATCCCAAGCTGATTTCTGTGCTGCTGCATGGGGTTGAAACACTCTCACCTCCCCAACCCAGGGACAGATGCATTTCAGTGAATTGATTCCAGTCCGTACAGCCTGTTTCCAGGGCACCTTGACAGTACTAAGAAAAAGTGGTGTTTCTCAGTGATGGATTATTCCAGGACTAGGATGCTTAAATAGGTTTAAATTACAACAAAATTATTTATGTCCTTTTCATTCTTGCTTTCCTAATGTAATACCCTGGCTATGGATGGTAAATCAGATAACTACTCAGACTACCTGCCCAGAGCAAATGGGGGACTGCTTTGAGTTTCCACTTGATTTCATTGCAAATTCCTCCGGCTGTTTTTTTGGCAGCCCTGAGAAATGCTTTGGTAGCTGAGCACATGTTTTGTTTTATGGGTTTTTTTTTTCCAAGCCTGTGTGTGTTTCTTAAGGTTTTAAATGGTGTACAGAGACAGTGCAAGCAAAGTAGATTTGTAAGTACATTGCAGCAAAGGCTCCAAACTGGAATCAGATGTCAGTGCTGGCTTCGAAATTGCACAGCTGATACAACGCCTATATTGTGGACTCCCACCAGTTAAGAAACCTTGCTAATGACAGATGTTTACCACGTGCTTGCGTTCCTCTGGGAGATACCTCATCTTTGAGAAGGAGCAAACACAGGGATTTTGCTGCCTGTATTTGCCCCTTAGACCTTTCAGACTCCTGGCACAGGTGCCTTGCTCTGCCATGCTTGGGAAGCTGTGCTGACCTCTCTTACCTAAACAATCCCATGCCCTTGGGAGCTTTCTTGCTGCAGAAAGGAGAGGATTAAAGATGAGCTGAAGGAAGTGAGTGTGGAGATGGCTTTGAAGTGGCAGCACATGTGGCCACCCTATCTTCACGTCTCCGCTTGTTTTGCGGGTCTCCTTGGCTTTGGTTTGACTCTTGGGGTTGAAGAGATACCTGCCACATGCAGGTCCATCTGGTTTTCCCAGGCAGAAGCAGCATCTCCCAGCACACAAAAGAGATCCTCAAGCTCCCTCTACAGTTGAAAGAAGGAGGAAGACATTTCTCAATGGGGGTAAAAATGTGACTGCAACCTTCCATTGGCTTTGGGAAGGAACCTGAGCTATTTCTCTAGGTATGCAGTCCCCTGCTGGCCCACAGCATCGTGAGTTGCATGTCTTTCAGTTGGTGAGATTTAACCTTTGTCTGTCCTCATCTCGGCACCATCCCCATCCTTCTCAGTTCAAACCATTTTCTCCTTTTCTCGGCAGATCACTACATGCAGGTCCTGGCTTGCAAACACGACTGTGTCCGAGAACTTGCCACACGTTCAGGCCGTATCTCACCCATCGAAAATTTCCTTCCCCTCCATTACGACTACTTGCAGTTTGCCTATTACAGAGGTAAGGGCTGTCTTTCTGTTCCTCACAGTGTTTGCTGCGTTCTGTTACATTTTGTACAAGTTTTAATTGCTTCTTGTGGAAATCAGGGTATTTCCCCATGATGTATGTGCTATGGTGACGCAGCAGCGTGGTCTGAAAGAGTCAGGAAGCGGAGGACATTGGAAATTGTCTCTTCAGAAGTCCTTTTCCTTTCAGGTTGACTGAAATGCAATTATGTGTTTTTGTAAAACTGTTTTACATCATCTGCCAGGTTTTAAAAGCCCAACCTTTAGCATAAGAATTATTATTCTTTAAATAAATCATGCATTTTTAGGGTCCTTTCATTTGCCTTGTGATATTGAAGTTCTGGAGATTTATGTTTCACATTTTCTGAAACCAATAGATAACATTTTTTAAGTTAATATATTAACAGATATACAAGTTAGCCCAAGCTTATCCCAATATGCCAATTTTTGCTAATTACCAAATATTTTAAGATTCATAGTAAAGTTGCAGGAGTTGGCAACATTGCAAAACATCAGGAGTTGGCAGTGCTATAAAATATTGCCAGTTGTGTGGTCCTATGTGGCATTTTATTATGTTTTGTTACATAAAGAAAATCTAGGCAGAATTTTGCTATCTCAGGCTTACACTAGGAGTTCTTTCCTGAAAACAGCAGCATGTGGGAGGGTCAAAATTTCTACTCAAACCTTCATTCATCAACGTAATGGGAAAAAAGCTGGAGGAGTCAGCAGTGTTTCATACATGGTGTATAGGGTTTTTTCATTCCTCTGCTGAATTAGATGTTTAATGTGGTGGGTAAAACCCCTCATAGCCCTGCGAGATGCTGCACAGAAGAGAGGCAGTTTGCTGCTGGGCAGCATCCACATCCTGCCCATCCAATTGGATCCAATTTGGATACCACTCAACCTGTGCATGACCTCAGAGAAATCATGTCTCTGTGCCTCGGTTTCCCCGATGGTGAAATGGAGTGGTTAAGACAAAGTTGCTTCTAAAGAGCCTTGTAAAGTGCTGGGCTCACCCTTCAGCTGATGGGGAGTTCAGGCTGTGCCCTCCCTCTCTGCAGGCTCGCCTCAGTGGCTCTGCCCTGCCATGCTTGGCGTGAGCCCCCAGCACTGCTGGCAGGGCTGTGCCCCTCCTCTGCCCCCCCGACAACTGTTTTGTTGCCTTTCAGTTGGTGACTATGTAAAAGCCCTGGAGTGTGCTAAGTCATACCTGCTCTTCCACCCTGATGATGAAGATGTCCTGGAGAACGCAGGTTATTACGAGGGCCTCTTGGAAGGTACGATGGATCCAGACACAATCAAACCCAGAAAGGTGAGAGTGAGTGTCACCTAAGAGCCCTTGGTGGGAGGCTTTAACAAAAGCATCAGCTGGAAATTAAAGCAGCTTGGCAGCTTTCCCACAGTGGGACCACTCTGAAAACAAATGTGGAGGTGCTGGACGAGCTGGTGATGCTAATTGTAAGGGTGCAAGTCCAGAGTCACTGGTGTGGGGGAGAAACTGGAGGGTAGGATATTCTTTAAACGGGGACTTCAGCTTAGCAAAACCTGAGCAAGAGCAGGGAGGGTGATGACTGAGTGCCTCAGCAATGTAAACCCTCCCCTGGTTCAGTGCTCCGGAGGAGATATGGAGGAGGAATGCAATGCAGCACTGAGCGGAGGGCAACCTCTGTTAAGAGAGGGCCAAGAAATATTTTCCCAAGGGGAGGCTGGGATGTCAGCTTTACTCTCCAGTCACTGAGCTTGGAGTTCAGCGCTCAGCCTGTTCTGCAGGGAGCAGCCTTGCTATCACAGGGTTAGGTTGGGGTCAAACAACCAAACTGCTGGGTTCAGTCACCCAGCAGGACAGGCTTCATCTCCAGTCCGGGCAGACTTTATCTGCAGCCCTGAGGCTGCCTTTCTCATGATGCAGAAGCAAAGAAGTTATCCACCCATCCCATCACAGCCCTGCTGAGGCTCATTTCCCTTGCACTGTAAGCAGAGGGTAGGCAGGAATTGGATTTTTCATTCCCTTGGTAATTCCTTGATTTCTAGGAAAATCAAGGTGATTTGATTGCTGAATGCTAAAAAAGAAATATATAATAAAATATATATATTAAAAAATATAATATATATAACATATAATATACATATAAAATATACATAATATATTATTATGTATATAATAATATATATAATAAATAATAAAATGCTAAAAAGAAAAGGGAAAGGATAAAAAAGAAAGCAAGGACAATTATCATTTCTCCTTGCAAAGTGAATCTAGGAAAGAACCTGAAGTTGACAAAAACATTTCGTTGTTTCCTGTGTTTTGAAATTTTCTGTAAAAAAAACCACCAGGCTCCAGCTAGCAGGGGGGAAACAGAGGCACAGCCCAGCCAGGGTCCCTGCTCCACCAGCCTGAACCTACCTCCCGCTCTGCAGCTAGGGTTTCTCTGGCCAGCCTCTTGCTCGGATATTTAGAGGCTTTCCAACGTGCTCAGCACTCTCTGCCACCTATGCACATGTATTTTGGGGATTCAGGTTTCCCAAATAAGTTGCTGAACACCTCCCCTTCTGTAACATAGTGAGTAGCTCAGCCCTGTGTCTGAGGTAGCTCTAAAGCATGACCCAAGCATCCATAGCCCCATAGGAGCCTACAGGGTTGTGTTGTGTGAAAATCAAACCCCTGTTGAAGCAGATGTGCATTGACTGTATCTTGTGAAAGCTAAACATGCAACTACTCTCCTTCTCTTCTTCTTTTCAGGAGGCAAAAGCGCTGCTGCGGCGCCATAAGCTGGAGTCTCACCTCTTGCAGGTGGCTGCGGCCGGCCTCGGATACACCTACACCGAGCCGGTAATGCCTGGGTCTGCTATGGCAAGGGCCTTTAGGAGTTCACAGCCGTAGGATGTGAACCTCTCTCTCCTGTAAAATGAGTCCCATGTAGGTGACTCAGGAGCTGGGTCTTGGCTCAGTTTGTTCCCTATGGGAAAAGGGCAATGGCAAAGCAAGGGAGGCAGCCGTTCCCGGGGTGAAGAAGGAGCAGACACAGCCCAGTCCAGCTCTCCTGCCATGGTGTCTGGCTTTGTTTCAGCCACTGCCATGGTGGTAGGGCAGGACAGAGAAGGCTGGATGAACCGGGCTCCCTCTGTACTCGTTGTACAATATCAGTTTGGGTTGGGGTTACATTTTCAATTTGGTGACCCCAGGCAATTTCCCAGAGTTGTGTGGAATGGACCCATACCAGGGAGGCTGGCTGTCCCCAGGTGTGAGGCAGAGCAGGTAGCTCCCTGGGTTTGGCTGGAGCACTAAATTAAGAAGCATGACCTCTCTCTTTTCCCGCAGAACTACTGGAACAGGTACGGCGCCCGCCAGGATGAGCACAGGTGAGCCACCACCCAACCCAGCTAAGCCCACAGCTTCACCAGTCCCTGTAGTGGGGCTAAGGGGATGTGCACATGATGGAGTACCAGCCTGCCACTTGGGGGGTGCTGCCCATCCACCCCAGCACACCATCATGGTTGAATTAGGGCCCTTTGCCCCTTACCATTACAAACAGTCCCACAAGCACCTTATTTCAGCTGAGAGCCTCAAAACCAGCAATGGTCTAGAGGGAACTTGGTCAATGAAGAAAGTGTTGCTGTTCAGGTCTGTTGGTGTCTGTGCTTTTATAGTGGAAACTGTTGTTCCCATTACCAGAAAAACATGATTTGGCACAGGACAAAATGAGGGCTTCTACTTGTATTGTTGTGACATTTGTACAAAGTACCAATTTGCCTGGTTTATTCATGTATTGGTTCCTGAAGGGTGCAAAACAGCACAATTCCCAGAACTGGAGAACTGTGGCCAAAGTCATGTTGTTCCTCTTCTCTCTTGCTCCTCAGTGTCCCATCAAGTATTAGCAGTGAACCAGAGGAAGGGCCCCGGCTGTCCCTGGCAAAGAAACCCATGCCAAAACCAGATCGAGAGCTGAAGGAAGGTAAGCCTGATGAAGATGTTTCAACCAAATCATTTTTTTTCCTATTTCTAGAGAGTGCAGGCTGCAAAGGCTGGCCACTGAGCGATAAGGGCCAATCCTATCTGAAGGAGTTACAGTTTTGTTTAAGAGACAGAGAAGTCTTCAATGCTGCCACGGCATTTCTGGGTCTGCGGATCCCACCAGCACTGCTCTGCTCTCGGACTTGTTTTTGCTGCCTGCTGAGCTGCTCAGTATGGAGTCCCGAGATGTGGGTCTGGCAGGCTAGGTCCTCCTCACCGTGGGAAAGGTGGCACCAGCAAATAGTAGTCTTTCCCCAAGGTGCTTCTAAGATTAAAAGGTTCCCTGTTGTCTGGGCTGCAGAAGGATGGATGCTGGAGGCATTAGGTTTTGGGAACTTTGGTCCTGATGCTTTGCTAAATGTGCTGGATGACACCATATTGACAGCCATTTCTGTTTGCAGGCTGGCTTGTGATTTCATGTCTTGGCTTACATCAAATCACTTGGTTTTAAGGCCTGTCAGCAGATATTTCAGCTGATTCCAGCACATTTTCAGCAACCACAGGAAATACTGTAACATCATCTACTAAAGACAAGATTTCCCCCAAAACAATTTTGAAAAACTATATTGTAGCCAAATACCAAAGTGTGGTCCTTGCTGCAAAACAACGGGATCTCAAGCCAGGAGGTGTCTTGTGTCTCTAGTGGGCAGCTCCACAGCAGCAGGCAATTAAGCCTCCCTGTAATGCAAGGGATGGTTGCGCTTTTTGGAGAATTCCTCATCTTTCCATGGCCCAAGTTGTGTCCAGCTGCTCAGTGTCATGTTCAGTGCATTGTTATCCCTTTTCTAGCCATACATAAAATAGGCTAATACTACAGGATGATTTATATTTGTTGGCCTGTTTCACTTCTATAACCAAATAATTTCAGAGTGCATCTTTCTGTGTTTATTTCTTTTTTTTTTTTTCTCTCTATGCTTTTATTCTGGTTTAGCTGCAGAATGTTTTCGAGTTTACAAAGAAAATGGAAACCAATCAAAAAGAAAATGTGATTTTTGTCCACCCAGCTGCTTCCTTTCTCTGTTGTCTTTTTTTTTTTCTTTCTCTCTTTTCACTTGGAAAAAGAAGAGAAAAGGTGAAAAGAGAAAAAGAAATGTCCACTTTAATTTTGTAATTCTCTTCTTTACTTCTCTCTTTTCCTTCTTCTTCTTTTCCATCAATTCCTTCACTCCTAAAAGTCCAAATAATTCCCCAATTTCTTTGGGGTCTTTTTCACAGATCATACACAGGAAACAGGTCTCTCTCTCTCTCTGCTGGTGCTTCAAGGCAGTGGGGGCGAGGAAGGCAGCCGGGAGCACGCTGCTGGTGTAGGACAAGGGTTCAGTGTTCCCAGCACAGGGCAGCCCCCGCTAGCTCCCTGGGAGGAACAGAAGAAACTGGGGAAGTGGTGAGTGACGCCTTCCAGGTTCATCCCTCATGTGCCTACGGCAGGGGAAGAGCAACATCCGAGCTGGAAAAGTCAGCCCTGGGTTGTAGTGTGCCAGAAGTTTGGATTTCAGAGTCCTGCTTCTGATCCAGCTGCATTTATAATAAATGCTATTGTTGAGCAACAAGAACAGCAAAGTGAACAGAAGGAGCATCCTATCTTTTCCGTTTCCAAGAAACCTAACCCTTCGGAAATGAAGCCGTGGGCTAGCAGTGGGGCTCTGCCCTCAGGGTTACATGTCCTCCATAGGCCAAGGAGACTCTTCCAAAAACACACAATGTGCCTTAACGGACAGGAAAATTAGTAATTATAAAAGCAGTGAAACAGAGAGGTTTCCTTGCGCCACATGGTGAGAGGAGCTCTGAGGCTCTGCTTCCTCTGTTTTATTGCAGCTTTGTGGCAACAGATAATTTCCCCACAATTTAGATGCAAGTCACCTTCCTCCTGGAGAAAACATCTGGTTTAGGTTTTTACTGTTGCGATTTCTTTCATTCTCTCTCTCTGAGGAGATGTGGGGAAAGAGGCTTCAGAAGATGGTGATTTAGTGGCCTCACCATGCTTTTCTGATCAGACAAATTTGATGGGGATGGATCGAAACTTCTCGTAAAGAGCTAATCTCTCTCTTCTCCTCGCCTGTTCTCTCAGCACATGTCAAGGCTCAGTTGCCCTGTATCAGGTGGGAGTCCAACAGTTTACAAGCCCAGCCACAGTGTATTCACATCCCTGGGATGCTACCTAGGACCTCCAAAACGCAGCCAAGCCATTGGCTTCTGTCAGGCAGAGGGAGGCAGCTTGGAGGCAGGGAGTGAGACATGGTAGGGACAGCCACGGCAGCTCCCTTTGACTCTGCAAAGGAGGATGTCCTCAGGGTCCTCTAACCCACCCACTCCCAGCCCCTTTTCTTGGTGGAGAACAAGTGGTGCTTGCTGCAAGCTCAGTGCTGCATTAGGTTTTCTACATGTGTAAAAGACAAGAAACCCACTGATGACAATTGCAGAGAGCAGCTTTGCACGCAAAGCCGACGAGCCACACAGCGCAAATGGAAACTTATGGCCTCCATCGATGTTGGCTACCGGGCAGGAGGGCCGTTAGCCAGTGTCTGTGTCTCTCATTGTGTCCCATCGGGTTTTTGCATTTTCAGGCTGTGGTCCCCGCGTTTACAAAGCAGCTAATGAGAAAGTGGAAAACGCTGATGCTCTTGCAGCACATTGATTTCATCTCCGTGTGTTTCCATTGCTTCCCTTTCTTTCGTTGCTGATGTGAGGCCAAACTCTGCTCTCTACTGTGAAGCTCTTCCCCTGGCAGCGCACCCGGGTGACTTCAGCTGGCCCTCAGCCACGGTACAAGCTGTCAATGAGGCCAGGGCATGTTTAGCAGTGTCATTCTGTGTCTCTCTTTCCATCAGGGGGTCCACTACTCTACAGCGATGTGAAGTTTGTCTACAACTCGCAGCAGCTGAACGGCACCCAGCGAGTACTACTGGATAACGTCATCTCAGAGGAGCAGTGCCGAGAGCTTCACAGGGTGGCCAATGTGAGTAGGCAATGCCCCCTGGGTGGGCCATGAGTGCCACCTGGGCTGAGTGCCTGATGGCTTTTGAGAGCTGAATGTGAGATCAGCCCCTGGAGAGGCTCTGGGTTCATGCCTCAAACTTGAGTGTTGCAACTGATGCCAGGATGCCTGTGTTATAGGGACAGAAGCTTGTCCCCGTAACTGCTGCTGCTCCGTCTTTGGCTGTTCTTAGAAACATGCTGCAAGACAAAGCCCATGCAGAGATAGCTCTTTTCCATATGTTGTGGAAAGGATGCAGCCCCAAAGGATGCTCATCCACAAACCTGGTTGAGCCTCCTCGTTCATTGTCAATTAAGCCTGAGGGTGCCTGAACATCCCTAGTCAGATGGTGGGTGGCTGTTTTCCAGCATCTCAGAATGGACTGTGTTCATGGTGAGCAGCCCTCTCCTAGGGCACCAGTTCCCCCCTCACCCATGTTCGTGTCTTTCAGGGGATCATGTTGGCTGGAGATGGTTACAGGGGCAAAACTTCCCCCCACACCCCAAATGAGAGATTTGAAGGAGCCACTGTCCTCAAAGCCCTCAAGGTACATCTTCTCCCCTCCTCCTGTGTTCTCCATCCCAGCCGGTATGTGGTGCTGACTCTCTCTTGCTCCTTCTCCTTGCCCAGTATGGCTACGAGGGCCGTGTCCCACTGAAGAGCGCCCGCCTTTTCTATGACATCAGCGAGAAGGCTCGAAGGATTGTTGAGTCCTACTTCATGCTGAACTCTACACTCTACTTCTCCTACACCCACCTGGTGTGCCGCACTGCCCTCTCCGGTGAGGCTTGGGGAGGAGGTGGTGGGGCAGGCCTGGGAGGACAGCAGGGGTTCAACCCCCCACAGAGGGTTTACGGGTGGGGGACCCAAGCCTGAGCACAGCTCTGTTTTGCCTGATGTTTAAACTGGTGGCTGAGGGCTTGGCAAAGTCACCATCCCCACAGCAGCAAAGGGTGGGCACTGTTGTCCTGAAGAAGCTGAGTTCTGGGGTATCTCTTGTTTTTCATGCCTCCAACTTTTTCTCTTTTCTCCTCCCTTTTCTCTTGCCTCCTCTCACTGTCCCTTCTCCTTTCCACCCCTCCACAGCTCTCCATCTTGCTTCCCTGCAGTAAGGGACAAGCAGAGCTGTGCAGATCTGAGTCCTCAGATGTTGCCTTTTCTCCCCAGCCTTTTCTTTCCTCCTCTCACCTGTGAACACCACCTGGAGTGGGGTTGGGGCAGTGACGGACCCCACTGAACATGGCATTTCCATCTCATCTACCCCTTCTCCTTCCCCCTTCCTTCACATGGTCCTGCCTAGGCCAGCAGGAGCGGAGAAATGACCTCAGCCACCCCATCCATGCTGACAACTGCCTCTTGGACCCTGAGGCCAATGAGTGCTGGAAAGAACCTCCTGCCTACACATTTCGGGACTACAGGTAGGCAAAAAGGGGGGGCTGATCCCAAGGGCACACAGGGACCCTCCCCAAGGGAGGGCATCCTGCTTCACAGACCTAAGTCTGGTACATCCCAGCCGTGGCAGAGTGAGACCTAGCAGGTATTTTCTGGTGGCAGCAAGCATCATGGTTAAGCTTCAAGCCAGAGTTTAACTGTAATGGCTCTGTGATATTTTAGGGTTGGGAGATCCCGGCTGTGGCCCACAGGGCTGTGTCTCTGTCATGTGGTTTTGGTGCAGAATGGAAGGATGAGAGCTGGTGGGACCCAGGGGATATTTTGCGAATTGTTCCCTAGCCAAGGAGAGATCTGTTGGTTCTCAGCTGTGGCTCCAAAATGGGGGCAATCTGGGTGTCCCTGACCAGCCTCACAGCAGGACCTCCCCTGCCTGGCAGCCCCCTTATTGGCATCTCGGTGGAGCAATGCAGGATCTACCCTGGAGGCAGGGGTAGCCCTCCCTGGTGCTCCCCTCACAGGGGTCTCTCACTTCTTTCCCCAGTGCCCTCCTGTACATGAACGCAGATTTCGAAGGTGGCGAGTTCATTTTCACCGAGATGGATGCCAAAACTGTGACTGTAAGTTGGTGCTGTGAATCAAATGCCATTCCTCAGGAGTCTGTGCCAGGGCTCTGGGCTTCCCCAGGCAGCCTGTGGCTCCTACCTTGCAAAAAGCCCCTACAGAGTTGCACAGACCTTCTGTGCCCTGCCCAGAGGCTGTGCTAAGCAGGAAACTTGCAGATCAGAGGGATGGCTGAGAGTTGTCCCTGCCTGGAGGACCACTGAGCTCCCACCCCATCTCGTGGCCAAACACAAAGCAATGCCTCTGTACATATGCAGTGTGTGGCACAGAGCAGGTCATGATGGTGGACATCAGTCTCTGAGAAGGATGAGACCCAGGCACAAGCCCCCTCTTCTGCATGGGGCTATTTGGGAGGCTGGGCACCCCTCCGTAGTTGAACAGAGCATCTCAGCACCATGCTGGGATTCTGAAGTCCAGTAGATGCTGGAGAGTTGATTGCATGTACCTAAGACCAGTGCTAGACAGTTGATTTGGCTGGCACTTCTGTCCCTGAGGTCCCGCAGGATGCCTGTTGTGGACTTAGCAGAAAGAAGAAGGGTATTTCACAGCCTATGCCAGGGTTAGCCTGAACCTCCCTGGAGCTATGTCGTGGCCCTGTTTTGCTGCAGCTGGCTACCTGCAGGCTTTGCAAGGACTCCATGCCCCCACCTCCTTTCTGCATGATGACTGCACAGCAGGACTAAGCCTCACACCTCCCTATTTACCCCGCACACTTTTACAGCCATTCCCAGGGCTCTGCATGTTCTCCAACACAGCTCACTGGGTCCCGGGACAATGCAGAGAGATGCTCAGTAAGATCCCAGTCCTTGGACCATGATGATCCCAGATGTGTCCAATGACTGCTGCCATGCTGCTGCTTGCCATCCTAGTGTCGCCTCTTTTTTCCACAGGCTTCCATCAAGCCCAAGTGCGGGAGAATGATCAGCTTCTCGTCAGGTGGTGAGAACCCCCATGGGGTGAAGGCAGTCACCAAAGGCCAGCGGTGCGCTGTGGCTCTTTGGTTCACCTTGGACCCACTTTACAGAGAGCTGGTGAGTCCCTCCATCACGATGTAAGAGGAGCTAGGGGGTACCCACTATCCTGAAGAAAACTGGACCATCTTCAGCCTCCAGTCCTAGCACATCTATTTTCATCACACCCCCCCTCCACAGGAGCATTCCCATCTGCTGCACTATGGGGACATGAGCTGGTGGCCCTGGGACTTCCCTGCTGGACATGCTCCTGGGCACCCATCACCCTGGGCCTCTGGGGTTTGGGGCAGGCTGGGGTGCTGAGAGGGGTGCAGGAGGGCTCTGCGCAGGACTGGGCTGGCCATTTCTGACACCTAGTGGCAATACCCTGATGAACAGGGAAGTCCTCCACAGCCATCTGCAGCTCGGAGGCCAGTGATGTGCGGCTGCTGCCGGGTCCTCAGAAGTAGTTTGTCAGCTTGAAGCCCATCATTCTGGGCACTCAGATGCCTTGGGAGGTCTGGGCTGTGGTGCCTTTCAACAAGCAACCTCCAAATTCTATTTGAAAAGTCTACTGTACCAGCCTCTGCCTTCCTTTGATAGCAATTCTGGTCTCTAAGAATAAAAAACCAAGCAAAACTAAACACAGGGAGAGAGCAGAACCCTCGTGCCTTTGCCTTGTGAAGCAGACGGGCTGCAAGCTTTGGGAGAAGCTTATTTTCAGACACGTACTTTACTGTCTCTCTGCTTTTTGGCACGAGCTGGAATTCCTCCATGCTTGGTGCATGTATGGAAGGAGATCCCAGGATCCTGTGTGGACAGGAGGAGGGTACACTGTGGCGGTGGCTGCTAGTGAAGTGTGATAAGGGAACAGCACTACATCAGTTCTGCCTTAGCCATTGCAGCCCCTGGAGGGAGGATGAATTAGGTAATGAGGTGCGAAGTGATTTGATTAATTTTGCCCAGCAAATCCCCAGCTCAAACCCAGGCTGTCCCCTGTCCTGTCAGATACAATGCTGGTTCTTAGATGAACTGCTTGCTGTGGGTGCTTCCAGCTGAGCCGTGCTGAATAAGCTGAGAGCAGATGCTGAAGCTCTGCTGTTAATGGTTTCTTCCCATCCCCACTTGCAGGAGCGGATCCAGGCAGATGAAGTGATCGCCATGTTGGACCAGGAGCATCTAGGACCCAGCGAAATGAACATCAACCCAAAGGATGAGCTATGAACTAGGCCAAAGACTTTTTCTATTAAATATTTATTTAATATTGTTAATCTTATTAGAACCCTTCTATTTTTGTACAGAGCTGCTGTATAAATTAACATATGATTGTGGAGTTTCAGGAGGGCTTCTTCTGTGTTTAGCACAGCTCTTGCTGGGACCCCTCATCTCTGTGCCAGCCTCTCCTGCTGTGCCTGCCTCTGCCTCTGGGATTCCCTGTCCTTCCCTAGCACTTCTCAGGACTTATTAAGGCCCACTGTACCCCGTTGAAGAATCCTTTTTTTTTCTTCCTATGCCAGAAACAGCTGCTTCTCTTTAGCCTCTGCTAGAGAAATGCCTCAGGTGTGATAACAGACCAGTCTTCCTGCTTCTGCTAAGTGCTGGCTGAAGACCTGGATAGTGCTGGAGGAGGAAACTGGAGCACAAGTCAGTTATTTCCATCTCACCATTTGAAATATGCTTTTTAGGGAAAAAACAAAGCAAAATCCAGGTCCTAGCAAAATGCATGCAAAGCTGGCATTTGGGCATTAATTCTGAGCAGAGTTTCCAGAAATCACTGTCTGGGCAGGGTCATGAGCTGTGCACAGGTGACAAGGGGTTTGATTTGCAGCTGACTCTTGTGAAATAGGGTCTGTCACTCATGTTCAGTCCCTGCTTTTTCTAATGGCTTGGGAAGCACGAAAAAAAGTGCTTCACAGTGCATCTTTGAGCCTCCAGCTCAATGCTGCTGCTGGTAAAACTCAAGGTTAGAAGTCATCCTTTCCAGGTCCATGTTGGGAAGCAGCTGAAAGGCCCGGGGATGTTGCAGTGCCATAGTGTTGGATGGTGCAGCTTTGTACGCTGGATGTCCTGGCTGCTTCCTCCCATCCTGACCCTGCAGGAGCAGTGGATGTCAATGGTGTGGTGGCGTCTATTCGCTTAAAGTATTTCTGACCCAGTCTGAGGGTGTTGCATTGAAAGCACATGCTGCTTGTCACAAGAGATTTACTATGCCAGGAACTGCTACTGAGCTAGTAATTCATCTTTTTTCCCACCATTAAATTAACTCCTGTGTGTGGGATCAGAGCAGCCCCTACCTCAATCAGAAGGAACACTGAAGTCATAGAACCACCCACATCCCAGTCATAGAAACAGCTTTTATTTTGACCCAACAGCTGCTTCAGCTGCTAGAAAGCAGTTCCTAAAAGGCAGATTGCAACAATCTTTACTGCTGAATTTACTGCAAGGCTTCTGTCTCTCCAGAAAGCACTGCAGGGATCTTGGCTGGAGTCTGGATCCCTGAGAAGTTTTGTTCAGCTCCTGCTGTGCTGGCACTTTCTCAGTCCCTTTCTGCTCTTCTCTGACAGCTTTGGCATTTCCAGGACTTAAAACTTGCAATAGGGAATTGTCTTTTTTTTTTTTCTTTCACCCAAATCTTCCAGGCTTAACAGCACTCTCTTCTCATCCAGTCACTGGCTGCAAAGGCCATAGACAAGGATGATCCTTCTGCAGACACTTCCTCAAAACGTGATTCTAGGCCAGATAACTCAGTTCATCTGGAAGGCAAATGCCCAGACTGTGAAGAAGGCACCATTACTGCCTAGAGAATGATGGGAGGCTCCCCAAAGAACTGCCCACAGGTCTCTGCTTTCAGAGACTCTTCCCTGCTTAAATGCCTCCCCTGTAAATGCTTAAATCTCCTTTTTTACAATAGCCAGAGGAAAAGCTGGGGGAAGAAGGGGAGGACAGCTGAAGAGCCAAAATGCCAGTGTTGTTGCTCCCTGTCTGCACCATGCTATTGCATCCAAGGCTTGACTCCTACATGCTGCACCTGCAGTGTGATTTTGTGTTGCCACCCGCCCTGACAAGCACACCTTCCCCAGCTCATCCTGCAGAACGGGGCCCTCTCCAAGCTGCTCAGTGCAGCCCCTGCCCTCCCAGGGGCTGCGGGGATCCCACCAGCTGGTCCCACCAGCTGGTCTTCCTGCGGGGAGGTAAGAAGCAGGACATCGCAGGTCATGGTTGGTTTGCTGCTGTGGTGGTTAGCCAGAGCTGTGTCTAAATCCAGAGGAAATAAACTAAACGTAACAACTGGGCCTGTTTCTGTCTTTCTTTGGCCAAATATTAGAGGGGGAGACCAAGGAGTATGCGGTGTGTTCATGATGGTATAGCTCCCTGAGCTTTTCTGCCCTGGTCCATAGAGCACATAGACACATCTCCCATGGTGGAGGAGCATCAGAGACACTGATGGCGCCAGGATTAAGCAAACTTGTGTGTCTGCATTTGGCTGCCACACAATGGTAGCCATCTCTTTTGCTCTGCATCCAGCTGCTTAATACCTTATGTACGATTGGCACGTTTCAGGCATTTTGGAGAGAAGGAGAAGGATGTCGCAGCCTCTCTGTGCTGCTGGGGTGTGCAGTAGGCTGGGGAGCAAAGCAGGACACTGGCTGGCTCCTGGTCAAGCAGAAGCTTTGCTGGAGAAAGATAGAGCAGCCTCAGAAGGATGCTACATTTCAGGATTCAACTGCAAACATGAACTCCAAATCCCCAAGAAGGGGAAAGACTCTGGACCTCATGCCTGGGCCATGAGGCTTGCCAGGCTGCTGTGCCGCTGAGACCTGCCTACGGTCCATGCCAGGCTGAAGCCAGGAAACAGGAATGCAGTGAGTCAAAGGCACTTTTCCTGTTTGTTTTTCCTTCTCTCTGCTCTGGCAAAGTCTAGCTCAGAAGTGGATTTGTATTTCTGCTGCAACAGCAGAAGTGGTTGCCAAGTTTATTGGCATACTGTAGCCTTGCAGGAGCAAGTTACAGAGCTCTTTGGGGCATGCACCAAAATACATTGTAGGCTTTTGGGTCTTTTTCATACCTGAGTGGGACGGGTTGCCACCAAGGTGGCTTGGCCTCTGAGAAATGAATTTTAACTCAGATTTGATGTAGGGGCTGGCATCTCCCAGAGCCGCATCCAGCACTTCCTGCAGGGCACCTGCATTCCTGGAGAAAGAAAGCTAACACCAAAAAACAAATGTATACACCCCTCCTTGGTCAAATATGCCCCAGGGACAACTTGGTGCACTAACATTTTTGCTTCCTGCTACATTGACTCACATTTGTTATTCCCCACTTGCCCTTTGCTGCTTCCCAAAGCCCCTACATGAACCAGCTCAAAGTCACACCATTAGGAATAAAGCTGATGTGCATTTCAGAGCAAGCCACATGGCTCCCCAAGCCAGCTCTGAGCTCCTCTAGCCAAAGTTTGGCCACTGAAGGGAATGACAACCTCCCTATGTGTTGGCCATTTGTTATACATGCCCGGTTCTATCACCAGCAACGGGAGCAGTTTTGAGATGGAGGTGCTTGAACCGTGTCTTAGTTCCTCGTTAACTCTGCTGTGCCCCTCCTAATACTAATAATATGTGCAGGGTGGGATTAGCAGGGTTGATTTATGACATTCTATGAGAAAAAAAAATAAAACAATTCATAAAGGAAATATAACAGAATTTAAAAGTATTTAAAACAACAACTGAAGTGGCTCTGTGTGTGTGCCCGCGCGCTGGGGTGCGGCTGTTGCTCTGAAGTGAAGCCCTGCACGGTGTTGCTCAATGCCAGGGGATCTTTACTAGCAAGGAGCTTTGATTTTGTTTTGACATTCCAGTGGGCCCAAGCCAAGTTTGGTCACCCTTTGCACAAGGTTGCTGTTGCGGATTGGAGAGGGCTGGAGGAACCCAGTCTGTGCCACAGATATGCTTCCAGCGACTGGGCGTCAGTAGTGTTTCAGGAAAAAAGTACAGATGAAATGGATGCCTTCGTTAAGGAGAAGATGAATCATTGCACTTTGCAGTCATGGATGTGGCAGCAGAGCCAGTGGTAGAGAGGGCTCTGAGGCGTGAGGAACAGTGGCCCAACAAGGCACTTGATACCTTGTGTAGAGGGTAGGAGCACAGAAAATACCTCATACAAGCAAAGAACCACTAACGGGGGCCAGCAGAAAGTCTGAGGCTGAGCCCCTTTGAACTGTAAATGCCATTCTGCAAGTGGCTGCTGGAAGTTCCCATCCAGCCAAGAGGTTACCCCTGAAACCTCACCTGAATATCAGTCTGCAGGTATCATGCACAAATCATGGAATCCCTAAAGCTCTTAATGACCACTGGCTACAGAGTCTAATAAAACCTGGGCATGTCCATAGGCATTAGCCTGCAAGACTTTTTGAGGTGTTAATTTTAAGCAACTAAACCTCACCAATATTGCTGTGGAGGCTTAGGGCCATGTGGACAAATCAGTCTCCAGCAGCTGTGCTGGATGATGACTAAGCCCCTTGATTCCAAGCTGGGGCTTTTAAAATATGGTGCATTTGGACCTTTCTTTCGCAGGAGACAGACTGACAGCCCAAAATACATCAGCTTTGATGACCCTTAAAACCCAGTGACAAGCCCTGCAAGCAGCCAGCCTGCATGAAGACCCTCTTCCTCTGCCACGCCATTCCATCCTGCAGCTGCATCCCTCTTCCCATCCCCCTACCCTACTGCTTGGTGTCTGCCCTGCTGATGGACAATTTGGGTGGCACCATCCCTACCAGGTGCTGCACTTAAGGTTGGCCAGTCCCTGAGCAAGGATCTTCTGACCTCAGAGGTGCCTGTGGTCGTAGGCAGCAGACTTTTGACTGGTTTGTCACCTTTGCATTACAGCTGCTGGCTTCCTGCAAGCTACAGTGACTTGGCCGGGGGAAAGATGTGCGTGGAGGAGGGAGATGGAGTTTGCTGCTCTTCTCTCCTGGTTAAACCTGGGCAGAGCAAACCTGAGCACTAACAGGCAGCCAAATATCTTCCCATGAAAAACTGTCATTAATATAAAAGTTGTTTCCTCCTGTCCACACCCTTGCCCAGCCTGGGGAAAGAGCAAACCTGAGCACTAACAGGCAGCCAAATATCTTCCCATGAAAAACTGTCATTAATATAAAAGTTGTTTCCTCCTGTCCACACCCTTGCCTAGCCTGGGGAAAGAAAAAAAAAAAGAAAAACCAAACCAAAACAAGACAGCTGGCTCTAATAGTGCTGGCAGTGAGATAAAAATGGGCTAGTCCTGCTTTGGGGAAGAACTATATTAAAAAAGGAAAGAAGCATGCATGTCTTTTGTTTCTGTAACTGCTCCTACACCCACGCCCCAGCAGAAGAGCCACCTTTTCCTGCGGGAAATGTTGCTGCTTGTCTGTGCATTGGGGTATGACCCTGGCTGGGTCCCACAATGTTGGGCTCTTCCCTAGGGGTGGATGGGCACACATGTATGTGTGCTTTTGCTCCTGCCACCCCATTTCCACAGCAGGCACCCAGACCCAGAGCATAAGGTGCCTTGGTGCCAGCTGACAGCACCAGAACCAATAGAGTGCAGCCAGGCATGAGGCCAGATCCTGCACTGTTTTCCACCCCAAGCACAGCCCTACCTTCACTTTGGGCCTGGGGGACCCACAAGGCCAGGTGCAATAGATGTCCCTGAGAACAACAGGGTCCCCTCCATGCCATCCCGGAACACGATGTTGTGTGCGTGGGTCACTCCCCTGTCCTCAGAGCACACACCGTGCCATCAAGCTGCTCTTTCCACAGGTCTAGTGGATGCCATGGCCAGCCCAGCATGACTTTTATTCTGCTTTAAACACATGGTGAAAGCTAGCACCAAGTTTGTTTCCTTCTCGTTTAGCAAAACTTTGTTATGCAAAGAAAACAAACAAAACCAAACACCACCATAATAATAATAAAAAAAAAAATCATAAATGTCAACATGTCCCAACCCCCTGGCCACCATCCAACCCTGCCAAACGTTAAGTCCAGCACACTACAGGAACTTGAGAAAGCAAAACAGGCAACTGGGAGAGCAGCCTGGCCACCTTCACCTTGTTTCTGGGACACGGCAGAGCCCTGGGGAGCTGGAGGGGAGCGGGGTTCAGCCTGGGTCCAGCTGGGCAGCAGTGGGCAGCGAGCGAGGCCGTGGCAGCAAAGCAGGGGTGCAGGGAACCACAGTGCGTGCCGTGGCAGGAGCAGGCAACGGCAGAGCCCCGTGGGCAAACGGAGCCGGGCTGGCGAGTGGACACGCTTGGCAGAGGAGCAAGTCAGCTAATGATCATTTCCAGGGGTGGTTTGGATAACGAGAATGGCTGTTCTACTAGGTATTTCCTGAGGTTGAGCAGGGCAGGGCAGGGGGAATTAACATGAGCTCAGTTTAGCTTCTACCCCTCCTTTATTTGTAATGAGATTAACAGCAGAGATGGTAGCGGCACCATCAGTCTGCTGCCGCGATGGGCTGAGCCGATAAGCAGCTCCCGCGCTGCCTCGCATGCAAGCCAAACGGCTCCGGAATACAGGGAAAAACACTGGAAAAAACACCCCTTTGATCACACATGGCTTTTTTTTGCGATGGCCTTAGGGTGGCTTCGCTCCCAAGTCTGGGAGGAACACATTGCATTGTATTGGTCCAGCTGTTCCCGGCAGTGCCAGGAGCACGGCTGACCTCCCAGTGCAGCCCAGCATCACCATCCCCTCCTTGCAGTGCTTCTGCACCCAACGTCGGCTGAAAGTACCAGGCTAAAGGCTGGTTCCTGCTTTGTCAGTAAGAAATGAGGCCACCACTTGCCACCAAAGTGCTACAGGCAGCTCCAGTGCAAGAAATGAAACCAGTCAATTTGACTGCAATGAGGCGGAAGCTGGAAAGAAGTGTGAGTGCCCTGCGAGGCACCTCCCAACTGCTCACAGTGCTTTAACTGGACCATAGCAAAGGTGGAGAAGAAAGTCTCGTATGATCCCCTCATAGAGATGAGAACATAGACTACCCCCGACAAATTTTTCAAAGATCTTTGTCACACCTGTGACAAGGTCTGTTCATGGCACACCTAGAGCCACGTCTGAGTGTACGTAGCTCTAGCTGCAGAGTTTTGGCTGGAAAACCACTGACACAAACCTCCTGTATTTTAAAAGCCTTATATTATTCACAATAATCGGGCACTTACGAGCCAAGTGTGTCCATCCTGGGCAGGAGCCTCAGCTGCTGTGGGGCATGGTGGCACCAGGCTCATCTCTGCAGGGCTCTCTGTAGCAGCTGGGCACAGAT